TCTTCCTTCTGAACTCCCTTTTGAGCCCCAACAAATTCATATACGTGCTTTGCTCTGCATTCACCTGTTGCATTTCCTAGTAGCATTTTCTATCACCTTCATTGAGGGCATTATCATCATCCTTCTGTGACAGGGTTGCAGCACTTGTGGACAAGGGAAGAGCAACTGACATCATCTGCCTGGACTTGTTCAAAGCTTTTGACACTGTCCTGCATGAGATCCTTGTCCCTAAACTGGAGAGATGGGGTTTTGATGACTGGACCATTCAGTGGGTAAGGAATTGGCTGGATGGTTGCACTCGAAGAGTTGCGGTCAATGGCTTGATGTTGCAGTAGAGAAAAGTGATGAGTGGCATTTCTCAGGGGTCCGTACTGGGACCAGTGCTGTTTAACTTCTTTGTTGGCGACATGGACAGTGGGATTGAGTGCACCCTCAGCAAGTTTGCTGATGACACCAAGCTGTGTGGTGCAGTCAATACACTGGAGGGAAGGGATGTGCCATCCAGGGGGACCTGGTCAGGCTTGAGAGGTGGGCCCACAAAAACCTCATGAAGTTCAACAAGGTCCTGCACATGGGTCAGGCCAATCCTAAGCACAGATACAGGCTGGGCAATGAACTGATTGAGAGCACCCCTGAGGAGAAGGACTTGGGGGTTCTGGTGGATGGAAAGGTGAGTATGAGCCAGCAATGTGCACTTGCAGCCCAGAAAGCCAACTGTATCCTGGGCTGCATCAAGACAAGTGTGGCCAGCAGGTCAAGGGAGGTGATTCTCCCCCTCTGCTCTGGTGAGACCCCACCTGGAGTACTGTGTTAAGCCCTATGAAGTATCCCTTAGCCCAAAAGCAGACTGCAGTACTGGTTTTGGCTTCACCTGAACACTTCCCCAGCTCTGTGCTCAGCTCTTTTGTTGGGCAGAGGAGAGCAGCAGTGTGCCTAACTTTACAGTTAACTTTACCAGCTGTTAGGAGTAGCTGGAGAAATGTGGGAGAGGAGTGAGGAGTGGGACTCCTCCCTTCCAACTTCACACGGTCCCCAATCTCAACCACCAGCATCCCTCAGCCTGGAGGGGCACTGAGGGGTCTTGTACTTTGCCGCTACCCCTGCTCTTTTGCAGAGAGCCATTGAGTGGTATGACTCCCACGTTGACTACATGGTTATATTAACAAAAGCCTGAAGCTGTACACCCAACTTCTCTCAAATCAGTCCGCAAACTCGGATGTCTGAACTTGTTTTAACTAGCAGAAGGAGTGCACAGACCAAGACAGTCATAAACATCAGTTTTCCTGTCCCACTTCCTCATCTTTCTTGCAGGGCAGGTACTGAAGAATGACCTCCGAGGTAGGTGCAGAGAGCAGAATTACCACCTTTTGCATATGGCTTTGCATGCAAAGCCCCTTCCTCCTGGCTTCTTACCAGCCCCTGGGTTAGAAGTCTCCTCGCCTTTTGTCTGACTTTCCACTTTCTTCAGATCCTCTAAATTTCCACCGAGTGTCTCAAAACTTCTGTGGTACTTTTGACCTTTTGCTGGTCCTCAATCTCTGTTCCACTTTGGGGGAAAGCACTGCAAAAAATCCCTTCTGCACCAGCTGCCTTGCCTGGACCAGCTTCTCCATCCTGCCATTCTCAACGTGTCCCTTCTGAAATGTGAGCTACTGAGATTGGTCTCACATGTGAAACATGGTATTGCAAATGTTGAAACATCTGATGACAAAGCAACTTCAAAAATAAAAACACTGTCCTAGTTTGTTGCCTTCTTGAAGCTTTTGAAGCTGCCATTAACCACAGACTTCCTTTTGGCTGAAGCCTGTGAGTGACAATACGTGCAAGCAGAGCGCTCATTAACAGCCAGGATGTTTGAGGGCAGTGCTCCCTGTGCAAAGCATATTTAATTTTATCAGTTAATCAAGCTATTTTTAATCACAAAGCACTCTTTGAAAATGACAAGAGCATGCAAGAGCTGGAAGATGGCTAGATACAGAGGCAACTATTTCTATTTTGAAACCTTTGCTGAGAAGATAAAAATTCTGAGGCTGAAACACTGTGTTCCAGCATTTACTGTCTCTCTTGTCAGTGGAAGTACCGTGGGAGACAGAAGAGCAAAAATTAAGTTAGAGAGATAATACACAGGAAGCCAATGTTATCTTAGATTAAAACCAGCCAGTACTTTCAGTGACAAGCTTGGAAACTAGAAAGGAAATGCCGCTATACTAAACTATGCAGAACATGTTATGCTATATTCTTTTTCTCCCCCCATTATAAAATAATATAAAGCACAGAGTTATCACCAAGAAACGGCAGGAACTAGATGCCAAATGGACAGGTTGTTTCGCAGATCAGTGAAGAAGAACCTGGTTGCCTCTCTCAGGTACTGAACCATCCTGCTTTCAGGAGGAGATGCAGAAGATCATCTGCATGTGTAAATGGTGTCTTTACGGTTCATAGAAAAAGCCTAAATGGGCGAAAATCATCCCCCATATCTGTGCTGAAGAGAGAACAAATTAATACAGAACTGACATGCGAGAAAAGCGAAAGCCAATCTCTTCCCAGCCCAGGCCTGATTTCTCATCTCTCACATCTGTTTGGATCAGCAATCCGTGCCCCAGTGCTCAGACTGGGGACTCCACGTGACCCCTCAGGAAGGCTGAAGCTTGGCGATTTCAAGCCTGGCTCAGGCACCTGCTGGGTGGCAGAATGAATACTGGCTTTTCTGGAATCTCCCCCTGCCAAAAAAGCCCTAACCCAAAACAACCCAAGTAAACGCACACAGGCTAATCCTCTTTCAGTAAAGGAACTGATGTGAAGGTGCAGAACAAAGCATTTAATGTGATTCTTTTTTGGTTTGATAATCTCTTAAGAACTATGTTTTTATCTTAGTAAAGATGTAGCCTGTGGTAAAGCGATTTACGTCTTCTGCTTTTTCCAGAACAGTTGCCACAGCAGTTTTTAGCTCCATTGTCTGAAAAAAAATCAGCGTAATACTTATGTAGTTTTATTTCTTTGGTTTCTCATTTGTCTGCAGGTTGTCTTACTCTGTGAGATGTTTCATTCTTTTCAAGACATCTTTACTTTAGTTAGGCAGTTTTAAGACCTTGATTTTAGTTTTTAGACAAGTATACGTCATAGAAACGAACACAAAGTTAGTTTAAGGTATCATGTATTGGACTGTGGCTCCTTTGCCAGCGATGGTGCTGATGCTGCTCTGCTAACTCAGCATTTTGTCTTACAAAGTGGAAAACCCAAGCAGCTCAGTTACCCATTCTTATCTGCACTTCTCAGGATCCCACCTTGGCAAATCTTCCAAAATTACTGTTTTGCATGATGCCACAGAAGTCAACTACACTGGAGATACCTCTCAAAATACTAGATATGCATGTTCTTTGGAACATGCCAAGACTGTGACTGGGTTTTGGCAAGTGTGTTTTTATTCTGTTGTCCTCCTTTAGTCGCTTGAGGGTCTAGATGAAATACTGACCTTTACAGAGGCTGTTTAAAAAGCCCAAAGCCATGACAAATACAAGCAGTGAAATATATGTTGGGGCAGAATTTTCTTTCCAATGCCATAATTTCTACATTCTTTTGCTCAGGAGCCTACAAGTCCTGTTTGGCACCATCTACTCACTCAGCACACCATAAACTGCAGGAAGCCCAGTCTTAAACACTTATTTAACAGAGGTCAAGTAAAGTGTTAGCAGGCAGACTGCTGGCTCACCACCTGGACAGAAGAGAAGGAAGGATGTTTTTTCTTTTGCATGGCTTTGTGCTCCTTGTATTTTGCCCAATAAATCTGAAATAAGATTATTCTTTAACAGCTAGTCATTCAGACCATGTGCAGCAGCAGCAGACTTCATATCTATATATCTATACTACAGAAGGACCATTTTTAGAACCTTTGGAACCAGTGGGTCATTTCTGTGCCCTGTTGTGTGTGATACTGTCAACCAAGATTGGGTCATGTACCTTACCATGGGTGCTTACATACCACACAGACTATTCTCGGAGTCAAAGCATTACACACTGAGAGCGTGAATTGTGTTATTCTCACTGATTTTCACTCTGCACACTATACTTAAATATTAGTAGTGTTTACTTAAATATTAGTAGTGCTTTGCAGAGGATGCCATCCATTGGCTAGAGGTTAGGAAAGGTCAGCAGCCCCCGCTACACAGTCAGCAGGAGGGGGACATGGCTTTCCTGCCAGGTGGATGCCTTAAACAGGAACCAGGAAGGTGGTCCATCTTTTTCCATGAGCATCTTCCAAGATGGAAGGCAGGGGCTGGGCTGGAGATTTTGTGACTATACATTCGAATTGAAACACCTGAAGTCAACCTCTTGCTGGCTCTCCACCCCACAAGAGATTTATCGGAGCTAATCTTAGATGTCTAAAAAACCCTAGAATTCTAAGTGTGAGCCGGTAACATTATGCTTCCAGTGCAGTTAATAAAGAAGAGGGTTATCAAAAGGCTATCAGACATCCAAGACAGGTTGAATGTCCCTCTGTGGGTGCCCATTTCTTCCTACCGACTGCAAAGGGTGACCAGCTCAAGACAGACACGAAACTTTTAGATGCATGAATCGAAGCAATGCGTCATGAACGAGATGTTCGTATCCCCTCAGCAGGCACACACAGACAAGAGCGTGGCTGAGAAATCCCTCAGCTCTCGACAACGCCAAACTGCAGCGCTTCCGAAACCCGCTGCAGATTTTAATAGCTGCCATCCACCCCAGAAATACATTTGCACCTCTTGTCGTTACTGTAGCGTGTTGCTCCTCTGGACACCGGGTAGATAACAGGACCAAACGCCCCTCCTCAGGCCGGCCTCAGCCGCTCGGTACCCGTCCTGGCTGACAGACCTCCTTCGCGGTGCGCCCTTTCGCGGGCGGGGGTGACTCCCGGCCTGCCGAGCCCGCCCCTCCGGCCCTGCCCGGGGCGGGGGGAAGGAGGGA